TTCTTCTCATGGTTGTATCTTTTAAGTCTTCTTCATAGGAGTCTATTTAAAGAGGTCTGCATTATAGCTGCATCTCAGCATGTTCTACTAGCTTCAACTTGATTCTCTATCATTCCTAACTACAACATCTCTTCTCATATAATAATATGAGTGTATATCTTCTTCAACTAAGTACTCTACCTTACTCCAACAAGTAAGCCACTCAGCCTTTTCACAACCAAATAACCTATTTCACCATCCTAATCATGTATGTTAAAGTCGGCTTAACACACAATGGAATTTCCATAAGGATGTGACAGAAGTCGCTCAGTATTATTAAATACTAAGTCTGAACATCCTGTATAGGATTACTACTTGAACTACATACTATATCAACATGTTTAGGCAAAGCCTTGGCCTATTGAGTCTGAAAACTTCATTAGCCTTTCCTTTGATCTTTAAATCTTCTAAATCTTGTACAACATCATTTGCGATACTGTCGAAGTATTGATCACCATCTTCGGTTCTTCTTACTCTATAAGCACTCATTGCTTCATTCTGGACAGCGGTGGAACAACTTCATCGGTTATGCCAAAACATTTATCTCGTCTGAATGTGTTTCAAACGCACATCTTTCTTACAAAGATGTTATTATATCATCAAACATACTTTAAATGCATAATACCACTTTATAGGTATTAATACACTATTTACGATAACACTTCATAAATATTATTTTACGATATCCCTCGATCGTTTATCTATAAACATTATCGATGCCGACTATCATAAGTATTTTTATCACTTCGAAAAGTTTCTTATCAATTATAACACGGAAATTTTAGAATCTGGAATACTTAAAATTTCTTCTTTCAGATCAAGGTCGGAAACAGACCTTAAACTCTCTCAAGTAATAACAATATAAGCAAGCAACCTAAGGCATGATATATTCATTTATCATTTAGCACATATTAGAATATAAGTCATATCTCCTCTTAATATTCCAATGCTTGTGTCCATTTAGGTGTTTAACCTAAAATATACCAGATACACACCGTATCATCATTACTTAGCAATTCATGTTTAAGTCTAGAATTTCTCAAAATTCCTAGTTCACTTAAACTAATTCTCTAAAAATTTTGAAGTAACTTAATATTTTAAAATACTAGGGTTTATCACTACCCAATACCCCACTTAAATCTTTCCTATGGTTTGTATCCATATATTCCTAATGAATCCGTTCATATATTGAACTTCCAACGGTTTAAGTCTAAATACCAATCCGTGATCTTTAATTCACTTAAACTACTTCTCTGATACCATGATTGAAAGAACCCCTTTCTAAACTTTCGTATTTCTGAAAGACCCAAACTTTCATACTTCACAATATTGTTACTCCGAAACATGCTACATGCATATTTATAAACAATATTTTACATTGATAATTTAATTACAAAAGACTGGATACAAACCGACTAAGTTTTAGTATATTACATAACTACCCAGGATATTTAAGCTTTTATACATACGTAAACTCAAGTACAAAAGTAATAGTATAAACTATTTTAAATCTTCCAACAGTATATGACTATACTGGATTCTTATTACCTGCAATTGTTAAACACTGAGAGGGGTAAGCGGTGACGCTTAGTGAGGTCAATAATAGATACAATATAACGTTATGCCATATATATACTTCATTATGGCAGAAGCAAAGAGAAACAAGGAACAACAAAGGCATATGTGAATCATGTGACAGACTTTCCATATCAATCAATGATTTGATTCAAAGATATACGATCAATGAGACATGACAAATTTCTATACTTGATATACATCAATAAAGCTTCGGCCCAAATGGCACAGAAGACATACACTTTCTGATTTAAACATTTCGGTAGATTTCAGGCTTATAGCCCTGTCTAACCATCTGCCAATGCCATAGAATAGAAGTCATTCTCTTACGGAGACATGCTCTACATGGCCAGAGGCTACGTACCAATACCACCGTGAATCTAAGTCCTTTCACTGATCACATGGTCAAAGGTATAGCTTTGCTATCATAAATAGTGGAAATAAAAATAACACGGGAAAATAACCCGGAATAATAACACTGAAAAGCACATAGCACATATAACACATAACATACAATTGTTCCTATATATTGAACTCACCGTGAAATAACCGGGGGTTAAAATAGTAATTTTTGGGCAACACTTCGGCTCTAAATATAACTTCCTTCGTTGAAAACCGGGAGATTTATTGAAACACCGGGCTCTGCGAAGGTAGAGCTTCAAACCGAAAAGATAAATTTCTCGGGGTCTTCGGGCACTTCGGGGCGTGTTCCGGGTGTTAAAAATGATACCGGGGCTTCGGGGAAAGTTAAAATAGTAAAAATATGAAATTTGGGGTGAAAATGGTAATTTCTCAAAATTACTCGGCAAGGCTCGCATCTCTTCTATTTATAGGGGAGGCTTCGGCCAAAGGTGGACACGCGGAAGCAGCGAGGGCCGCCAGATGGCTCGCATGCGAGGAAGGGCAGGTGGCTCGTGCGAGGCTCGGACACGCGAAGGGAAGGAGGACAGCGAGGCTCGGATCTGGCACGCGTCGGAACCGGATTGGTCCAGCGCTTCGGACACGGGGTGGAGTCAGATGCGAGGCGCGTCGGAAGGCCATCGGACCACATCTTCGGTCAAATCAGCAGGCAACACGCATCGGACACAGCGGTTGACTCACCGAGATCAGACCTTATCCATGCGAGATTTCTCGGAAATTGTGCCCCGAACTTCTAAAATTCATAACTTTCGCATACGGGCTCCGTTTTTTGACGTTCTTTATATGCACGCGTAGGCGATAATATATTCTACAACTTTCGTTAAGACTTCGTCGACTAATTTTGACATTATTTTTAATATTATTATTTTTAACAGACCAGGACAGGAAAATCCCTTAAAAATTCATAACTTCTTCATCCGATGTCCGTTTTCGTCTGTCTTTTTACCGTTGTACTACTATTGACGAGACCTTCGATTCTCGTTTAGGTTGTGTCGGCTAAAAATCACTCGATCTAAAATTCGATTTTTTAGTTGTCTACTGCTAAGCTGAAACTTAGAAAAATCATAACTTCCTCATACGAAGTCAGATTTTGGCGTTCTTTTTATCAAAATTCTCGGTTTAACAAATACTACGACTTTCATTTAGATCACCAAGGCTAAAAGTAGTTTATCAAAAACTCACTTTTTACGTCATTCGGCGCCTTGCCGGTTTTGTCGCGGATCTTCGATTGGTCATAACTTCTTCGTTATAACTTGGATTTCGATGAAGTTTTCGCTTAGATGTTTCTAACGAGATTCTTTACAACTTTCAATAATAAAATTTTAATTATTTCATTTTTTATATTTTCGTTAAATTTCAATATTTGCCTAATGTTCGGAATCTCATAAGACTTCCAAAACATTCTGGATGATTCTAAACATAGTTTTACTTCATTTCTAGTAAAAACTATCTGTTAGAACTCAATACCCATAATTATATAATATTTCATAATATTATTCACTTTTAAAATTACATAACACGATAACCGAACGTGTATGTTACCAGCTAAAGAGCTAAATAAAAACCCAATATAAAATAAGTCCACATACTTTATTATGTTAACATTTCTACACCGTTAAGATGTAATTACATATTAAAAAAAAATCAAATTTCTTCTATTTAACAATCAAACACATCAAATATTAGAATCTTCTCTTTACAAAGAGAGCCTGATTATTAAAATGCAAAATTTCACAAAGATTCAATACTCAACACCGATATATCTAAAATATTGTTATTGTTTGACGAAGGACCTTCTATATGAACCCTAAGACGAATAGACATGTTATAGTTTACCATCTTTTTTAGAATCTTACGATTTAATATTTTTGGATTCCATCGAAAGCAAAACAAATGAATCCAAACAAAATGGTTATTTGTATTACAAGAGTAGATACTAAGTTTTGTGTTATTATAATTTTTCTGCCTATGTTTTGAGTTGTGTCCAATTAAACCCTTTAAAAATTCTTCTATTATGATGTCGACCATTTTGATATTTGCATTATTGTTAGAAATTAATCTACTTTTTATAGAATGTGATGAAGGGATAGGATGGCATGATGTTATATTTAATCCAATAAATTACCTTTTGTTATAATGCGTTTTAAGAGGTCATTAAGACTGATATTAAGCACATCAATTTCAGTATTTCACGTATTTTACATGTATGATGATGTTTCTATAATTTCAAAAAACAAATGCTAAAATTTAACCAATCAAAACCAATTTCGAAAATAATTAATCAAGTCAGATATCAAAACGACATCAAAAAGGATTGGTAAATCAACATTCATTGATTAAATCCGTTTAGGAATGAATCATACCCGATGGAAACACTTAAAAAACAAATTCTCTAATCAAGTAATATGTGAATTTGAAGTAAAGGTAATGTAAAGTTCAACCAAAAGAACTTCAGGGGCTTTTTAGTAACACCAAAACACCTACTCATAAACAACTATCAATATATAGCATTGCACCCATAGCATTCCTCCACGTGTCACGATTTTGAATAATTTATAACTAACAAAGCAAAATCAGCCACCACAAACAAACCACGTATCATTAGATACACATACATAAACCCATACTTCCCCTCTATATAAACGACGTCGGTGAGACAGGATCGAAATGGTCCACCGTCTACCATCGAAGGCGGCCAAAACAGCCGATGAACTGGTGGCAGAATACGGTGCATGGTTCCGGTGAGCCATCTTTCTCTCTATTCCTCTATATATAGTTATATACGTAAATATATGTATATGTAAATTTCTATACCCTATGAACTTCTACCTCGAAATTGTTAACATAATGATGAATTTGATTACATGATTTGATCACAGATTACTTACAGTTACAAAGATGTTGAAGCTAAATTAAATCACAAATTTTGCATTAAAAGTCAAAAGTCAAAAGTAAACCACAGAGTTTTATTCCTGAAAAGCATGTGTACAAGTACAATTACAAATCTTTTCGAGCAGAAAGGGCCAATCTTCCCCTAGCTGTCGAGGGCTAACTTCCATTGCAACTCTAAAATCTAACAAACAAATCCTTTGTTTCTCTTCGTGTTCTTCACTTCTCCCCAAACTTCCAAAATGTTGTTTGACTGGTGTCCTGAAATTACCAAAACACCCTATCAACCCCTTCAAATAAGCGTCTAATCCTTTATTCAGTACACTAGCACAATCCATTGATACTCCTTGAAGACCTTGTGCTGCTGTAATTTGATCCATACGTTCTTTTAATCTGATCGTATCCATCAATCCACCAGTGTCAAAAACAGTTACATACTTTCGATTATTGGATGACACCTTTCGGGCCCCACATGGAATCCCAAGTGGAGCTGTAACTGTAACTGATCCATTTTCATGGTGAACCTTCGGTGGTGGTGGTGGAGGAGGAGGTGGGGGTTTTCTGGTGGAAGCGTTCTTTAAAAGTGATTGAATTAACTGATTATGAAGTGATAAGTTGTCTCTTCCAATAGTTCTTAAACAAAGCTTATCGAACTCAATCTTATTCAGCTTTAAGCTCAAAAACCTTTTCAAGTAATCAAAATACTGTTTTGATCTTTCAGGTCCGAGCTTTCTGGTTAATTGATCTTTCATGTCGGCAAGATTGATCCTTGAATGCTTCTGCTGTGGTTCCATAAAACACTCACAAAACTATAAATTTCCTACTTCACTTAAAAAAACCCCAAATTTGACGAACTAAATTAGGGTTTTGCTTCTTCTACAAAATGACATCTTCCTGAATGAATTTAAACTACTCTACAACAATTTACGTAACGAGTAACGAATACACATTTATTGAAACTCTCAATTGGGTTTTTCCGTACTGATTCAGAGAATCAAATCGCATATTACAGTTTTAACTAACTCTCCCTCCAAAACCCAAATCCCCAATTATTCAAATTCTAATCTACAAACGAATAAACCCTAATTCTAATTCACATCTACACTGTCTAAAAACCCTTAATTTTTTAAAAGAGATCTCTATCCAACTCCAAGTAAACTCATGAATTAGTGTACGAAACATGCTCACACTTTCAAGAATCTTCAAGTACCGGAAACGTAACTTTAAAAATGTGTAAAGCTTAACAAAAAGATCGAATTTGGAGATTTCCCAACACCAACTTCAATTTCTCAATGCAAAATTGGGAATCAAATATACAACGGATTGAAGATATTTATGCTTCGAATCAACTTTATCAGTAAACATAAATATCCAATTCTGACCTTTTTGCAGCTCCTCCAAAATTGAAATTCCGATCACTGACGTGTTAAGTTTCACAATCATCAATCTTTTTCTTCGTTGGAACCCAAGGTATTGATACTATTAGCTTCGATTTGTTGTTCCAAAATATCGGGGTTCCCTTTTGGTATAAATTTCTCCGCCGCATTAATGTTCTTCGCCTAAAATTTCCATCTTTGCCTGTTTAATTCAAAGCCAAAAGAGCACTCTCTCTCTCTCTCTCTCTCTCTCTCTCTCTATGATCGCTCTTCACCGATACACACTCTATCTTTTCTTTCTCTCTCTACTCTCCTTTTCCAACTCTTTTTTTCGTTTTTGAGTCTGTACAGCGACGTTAATGTGAATTACCAACTGCCCCCTCATCTTTAAATGATATAAAAAACACCCCCTTCAGTTCAATACCCGTGGTAGGGAATTCAAAGATATAAGTTCATTTCAGTTACTTCATGTTTGTTTCAAGCGTATTGCTGTGTGTGCATGATAAGTAAAATATTAAAATGTTTAATGTTTTAATGATGGCTCGAAATTTATTTGATGATACTTTCGAAACATAGGGACTTCCATGTCAATTATTATGAACTAAGGGTGGTTTGTGTAACATAACAGTTTTCAGTTTTCATGTCCATTATAGCGTCATATACAATGGAAACTCCAAATTCATTAACTAGATCTAATACCCCACACATATATAGTAAGTGACGTATTGCTGTTCAAGATTTCGCATATGCATGTTCGGGGCATTTTGCCATTGGAATCAACGTTTATGTAGACAACTTATATACCTAAAATAACACATTTCATGAGAAAAGACAATAAAGAACATAACTTTGTGTATTATGTTTGGATAATTAAATTGATACATGATAATACCATGGTAATAACAACAAAACTACTACTAGAAGTTCCAATGCCTGATGGTTGATCAGTATCTGCAGGCTCTGCAATCTTTGGTGGTGATATTGGCGGTGATTTTGGTGTACTTGCAGAACTACCTGAGGGTGCAGCCAACGATGTTCCACTCTCAGTTGGTGATTTTGCTGATACCGGTGTATTTGCAGAATCTCCTGAGGGTGCACCCTCAGGTGGTGATATTATTGATGTCGGTGCATTTGCAGAACTATCTGAGGGTGAGGGTGCGGGTGTACCCTTAGGTGGTGATTTTGTAGATGCCGGTGCATTTGCAGAGGGTGCACCCTTTGGTGGTGATTCTACAGCCGAAGGTGGATTTGGGGAAGGGGTTGGGGTTGGGGATCTCGAATGAGATGGTACTAGCTTAGGAGACAACAACGGTGCTTGATTCTGCAAATGCTGGTGCATTTGCAGAACCACTTGAGGGTGCAGTTGATGCGCCCTCACGTGGTGATTCTCCATGTGGATTTGGAGAAGGTGCGGAGTATTTCGCACGAGATGGGGCCACTTTATGGCGACATCGTGGCGTGTACACAGGTGGTTTTGACATTTTTGGGGTAGGGGCCAGCGAGACAACCCGAGAACTTGAATTTGGATCAGAAACAACCGGAAAATTCATCCCGAGTGGGACGATCTCAGTGCTAATATGAAGCACCGATATGTTGAACGGCTCAGCGAACACTGAATTTACCAAAATAGCCCCAACAGGGACTCCACTAGTCGCCGGACTAACGACAACATTTCCAGTCTTGGAAACCGTAGCTTTCAAGAAACCCTGTTCGCCAAGGGCTCGACCAGTGGTTTGGAATAGTGTTGTCATTTGTGTAGTTCCGTTTTGCAAATTATGTAGCTTTTCAACATCAAAATAATCAAGAACAACATGAACCCTCATGATATCATCAAGCATATCATTTTGATGTTTTCCAGATAAACGCAATTCATCATCATTAGATACAGCCAACACTGTTATAGTTTGGCGTGAATTGATCTCTGATGACACGTTTGTTTCAGAAAGATAACGATTGAAGATACTGAAAGATGGGTATTGGCTTAAAATCGTTGTGATGTTAAATGCATCTGAGTAGTGAATGAAGAACAGATGGGTGTATAGTAATAGATAAAACTTAAAATGCATCAGTGGCAACAATGGCAACAATGGCGATAATGGTTAATTTCTAGAAAAATGAATGAAAATATGGAGGGGTTGTTATTTGTTAATTTGTTATGTATGTATATATATATGTACATGTACACACAGTCACACACAGATAAACGCAGTCAAGATTACGACAGTTTCAATAGAAGAAAAAGGAGATTCTTGTGCCATTTTTGTAGGGAATTTGTTTCCAATTGTATAACTGAACCTGACTAAAAAATGTTTCCTTTTTATATCAATGAAAGAATTAATTAAATTTCTACAATGTTACATATTTTGTACATAACACGTATAAGAATATCTAACAATAAATCTTGCTAAACTCCCTTGGAAACAGTTAATGTAATCGGGTATTTTTGTACTTGATGGAATCTTCTACTTTCTTCACTTTTAATGGCGTTCACATCTCCTTCTGACCATGAAGATAGACCATCATAGCTTGATCCATCTGTAAATGAAGACGACCATAACTCTCCATCATCATCATCATCATCATCATCATCATGGGAGAAAGCTAGTGATGAGGTGATGTTGTTTATGTCAAAAACTTCTTTCTGTGATTTGTCAACCTCATTGACATTGTCATCAAGTAAACCTTTTACAAATGGATGGTTTAACAGCATATTGGACCTTAATCTACACATAACCTTTCTAGACAAACAACCCTTCAAGAAACTCCTTCCATCTGTAGATATACTGCTGGAAACACATGGCAACTCATTTTCATCATCACTAATACGACTCAAAATCTCATCAACTGTCAAATCTTTTTCAGAAAACCAAAGTGGTTTTCCAGTCAACATCTCAAACACAATACAACCAACTGCCCACACATCAGAAGGAGGCTCTTGAACACCATTAATAACAGTTTCAGGTGATAAGTACATTGGGGTGCCTCTCCAGTAAGGACCCAACTTGTTCTTCTTGCTCTGTTTTGCTCGTTTTGCCAATCCCAAATCCCCAATTTTAGCAGTGAAACCATCTCTTGAATTGGCTACAAGCAATATGTTTTCAGGTTTTAGGTCACAATGAACGTACCCTTTCTTGTGAATGTGAGTTAACCCACGTAGAATTGACCTGGTGTAGCGTCTGACGTCAACTTCCGGCAAGCTTTTACCGGATTTCTTGATTAGGTCAGCTAGGGTTCCACCGGAGCCATACTCCAACAACAAGTTGTACACCATTTGACCATCTTCTCCGTTTGTAATCTCGTCGCCAAAACATTTTATCACGTTAGGACACCCACGAATGTTATCCATAACTTCTTTCTCCTTTTGGATTGAACCAGAAGCAGAGACCTCCGCCGATTTCACAGCCATAATCGGTGGATAATAGCTGTATTTCGATTTGGGTTTCTTCAAATTCGCTAGAAAAACAGACCCGAAACTTCCTTTACCTATCATTGCACCTCTGAACCAAGCAATCCCATCACCATATTTCTTATGCACAAGCTTCCAATCGTCTTGTTTACTTCTTTTACCATCGTATGACTTCTCTCCACCAAGCAAGCTTCTTTTCTTCGTCTTTGCTTCCATGGAGTTCATATTTGTCACCAATTGGTTCGTGAAACTTAGGGCTTTGGTGACAAATTAGGCAACAATGTCGTGGTATTGGTGCAATACGCATGTATATGTATGTTGTTGCTTACTTGGGGTTAAAGCAATGAAATTGAAGGGATTGGGGGATGGGATTAGGGTTAGGGTTTAGAAGAAGAAAGCGTATGGAATGGGCATAGGTTTGTGGATGATTGAAGTGCATATGCAAGCTATTTAACGGAATAACGGTCAGTTGCGTTTACATGGAGTTTCATGTGCAGTTTCTATATTTGACGGCATAATTCCCTTCTTTGCTTCTACGGTCACGTTTACTCTTCTTGTAATGAGAAAAGTATAGACTTCATGAAAAAATATATTAAAAAAAGGTAAATTGTATTTTACGTTAAAGATTCATGATTTTAATCGGTATTTGTTATAACGTATAAAGAATACATGTATAAAATAAAGTTTAAAAGTTTCTAACTTGAGTATATAATTATATGAAGAATGAAGAATTCGGTCATTAAATAACAAACTCATTAGCAATAATTATGTTAATTTTAGAAGAGAAATGACCATAATAGTTTTTTTTCCTAAGGTTTTTTTCACAATATAGTCTAAAAATGAAAAATAAATCACAATATTTATAATTTTCTTATGTCACCTCTGTTAAAATCGACATGGCCAATGAAATTTTTTATTTTTTTTCTCGAAAAATCAAAATAACATCCTTTTGGAAACTAATGACGTCATCTTAGAAAATTGGTCAAATATAGTATTTTTTTTTTAAACAAGTTGTATTGTCTTGTCACGTTGATTACGAAAACTAGAGGTCGTGCTGCGAAATCAGAATCTGTGATCACGAAGAAAGCTTGGTCGATACTTGCATGACATTGGAAGAACGAACCTCCATGGTTACACCAACATTAGAATATATGTTATTAGATTATTTTCAACTCTATTTTGTGGCTCTTGGATGTGTGATAAGATATTTTATTTCCTAAATTTTAATTGTTTATTTTCATTTTTTTTAATTTTGTTACCATTGATTGTTTAATTTTGCCATAAAATATAGTTTCATACATTCACTTGTTAATTTTACCAATCATCTATGTAATATCCCTCTAAGAGGGGACTAATGTACATAGTGGTTGCTATGGATGGAAACAACCATAGTTTTCGTATAGCGTTTTATCTAGACGTGACAAATAGCATCAACTCTTGTACCTGGTTGGTTCATGATGCGGATGAAAGAAGCTCTTAGGGACACTAGGGAAGTAACATTCATAACTAATCTGGACGATGTCATCATAACTTTTTTTAGGTCAACTTGATTCATATCATGGGTATTGTTGTAAGAGTGTGGTTGTTGCTTTGTGCCCTAGGTTTGGTCAAAATAGAACATATGATCTTTTGTTCTGTAGGGCATGAAAATCATATACAATGCATGACTGATTTTGAAGAAAACGTTGGTTGACTACAACATGTGACATAGACTGCATGTGACTACGTTGGTTGACTATAACATATGGCATATATTGCATGTGACTGGCTTGCCATATCGTCCATGCGAAAATGGTCAAGTCCTTTTTCCCCTAACACCTGTTAGAATGTAATCAACCTTAATAGTGCATATGTCATCAACATATTATCGGTTCGTGAATGCAAGCCTGTCTGATAGCAGATAAGAAAAATGTCGTCCGCCATGTTTTAGGTAATAGATTTTAGGTCACATATGTTGTAAATCTTCAACTTCGAAAGTATATATGTGGGAAATGACACAGGTGTGGTATAGTGTGTGGGCATGCTTTGGCGGCATCATAGTTTTTAGCATTTGTAGGTTTTTACCATATGGTTGAGGTTTATTGGATGTCTACAGTGTATCGAGCTACATACCAATAGACAAATTTGTGTCCTCTCCCGCCTCCTTCTGAATGGGAAATACCAAAACAATTTATGACCATTTTAACCCATTTTAACCCCTATGTAACCATTGAATTTTCATTTCGTCAAAGAATTGCTATGTTACTTTGACAATGAAAATATACACTTTGACTATGAATTGCAGACATTTAGTAAGAATTGACATTTAACCAGTGACTTCTCATTTCACTAGAGAATTGTCATGTCAATTTGACTACAAAAATATTCACTTTGACTATGAATTTTAGACAGTTAATAAGATTTTCATTTCATTAGTGAATTGTCATTTCACCAGGATATTGTCATGTCAATTTGACTACGAATTTCAGACATTTAATAAGAATTGTCATTTCACCGGTTAATTATCATGTTAATTTGACTACGAAAATATACACTTTGACTACAAATTTCAAATATTAAATAAGAATTGTCATTTCACTAGTGAATTGTAGATGTGGGAAATGAAAAACAACATCTAATCAGAAGATTTGTAGATGTGGGATGTGACAAAAAAGTGGTGTACTGTGTCGGCACACGATAACAATGATGAGGTCATTTAACTTGGAAAAGATTCACCAATTTGTTAACTATAGTTTGAATTTTTTTTTCATGTATCGAGTTGCATACCGAACTAAAATAGTATACCCTCTACGGCTCTACCACCTCCTGCTTAATAGGAATTACGAAACGATGTATCGGTGTTGTTACCCCCTCTGTAACTTAAATATTTAGATATCTTTCTTAAGTGTATGTGTAATGTTATATGTTATCCACTAATAAAGTATCTACTTAATATGACCTCCAAAAAAATTTCCAACGTCATAACCCATCCTAACTTGGAGCTTACAAAATACGAATTCTCGACCTCCAAATTTGAAGTGTAATATTTCCATGGATAACCGTGGTTATGTAGAACACAATAAAAAAAATCACCTCAAAATGGAGTTCGTATTAAAGAATTTTGAAGGTTCCAAGTTTGAGTATTTTTTTCATATATTTCACCGAGAAGACTACTTTGGACCTAAACAAATATGACTTCTCGACCTTTAAATTGGGAGTGTAATATTTCCATGGATAGACCATGTTACAAAGACCATAATGCAAAAAAAAAAAAAAAAAAAATAGCCAAAGTGAACTTCGTATTAAAGAGTTATGAATGTTTAAAGTTTAGGAAAAAGTTGGATTTTTCGCATGCTACAACCGTGAAAATCTATATAGATTTTCGCAGATGACCACAATTCTCGCAGATGTGGCCATTTTGGTCGATTTTCATTTTTGAGACTATTTTGTGGAAAAACCTTGTAAAAAATGTTGTTATGGTCATTTTCTCATTTTAGAATCATGTCTGTTATTTGATATAAAATATATAACAAAGTTTTTTTAAGATTAAAATTTATTAGGGTGGACGGATTTGATGAATTTTGCAATAAACTCATCGTGGTACCTTTGGCTATTGAATAGAGGGTAGTGCCAAATTGGAAGGATAACAAGTTACATAGCTGGTTGAAAGACTAAATTATATATATATATATATATATATATATATATATATATATATATATATATATATATATATATATATCCTTTCTAATAAATAAGAATCCTATTGACACATGTCATTTTCTCATTCAATTTGTCAAATGTCAATTTGTGGTAATTTAAAGATATTTGTTTTCACTTGTCATTACTTTCATTTTTTATTTTTTATTATATCATTAATTTAGTTTCTATAAATTAAATATACCATAATAACTATATTAATTTCAAATTTCAAATTTTAATTTTAAATTCTAATAAATACAATTTAAACATTCATATTTAACATTATGTTATAATTAACCCGTTTAGTACATTGGTCTGACAACTAAACACGTAATTTTAATTTATTTATTTTTTGCATTTTTTTTAATTTTTTCTCATAATTTCCACTTATTTCAAATTTCAAATACAAAATAAACTTTCCGTTTACTTCTTGGTGTTTAACATTTTGTTTTAATCAACCCCTCTAATATACGGGTTTCACAACTATTATATATATATATATATATATATATCATTGTTGATCGTTGACCAGGTTACATTTCAAATTTTTTATTTTTTAAACCTTTTTACCTACTATAAATATCATTTTTAACCACTTCAAAACTCACGCCTTCACTCTAACTTTCTTTCAATTCTATAATAATTCTCTCTAGTCTCATTCCAATTTTAGCAAATTCCATTTTAAATCGCTCTTACCGGTGGAAAATCCAAAAAAGTCGGCTCAAGCCAAATACAAAAACCGGCGTAACAAAACCGCAAGCGCTTCTCAAGATTTTCCATACTCCTTTCCCGATACCTAAATCCAAAACTATCCCCAATACCAACCATATCAACCCCAATAGAAATGGTTGCACGTCAACAATTACGATGACCACCCCCTCATCTTTCATCTAAAAGGACCAAAATATCTTATTCCAATGCATACACAACTTCTTCGGATACACAATTTCCACCTGATTTCAGATTTCAACGTAGAGCCTAAAAAGCAGTTTGTGTTTGACACGCCGCCACTAAGGCAACATAAAGGGAAGGAAGCGGAATCCACATCCTTATAGCCTCCTGAAATAACGGATCTCCTCACTGAATCACTGGCCACTCCCATATAAACAAAGCAGAGGCGAATGAGAGAAAACGCTACTGCTACTGATAGGAAAAATTATGTGTCATGGAAGCTAAAAGAAAAAGAAAATGGCACTCTTGGAAGATGAAATACAAGTGACCAAGAAAAACAAGAGGAAAAAAATATGCAGCATCTTTTTGAACCGTATGACTATTTGACTGGAGGGTTGTTGAAATCGGTGTTTGCAAGAAACGGAAAATTTGAAGAACTTTATGGTTATGAGATGTCGAATTTCATTTTAGGTTTTTAATTATCATTATTTTAGGATTTTTATTATTGTCTTCGAATTTCATAGTTGCTTTATCATTTTATTTATTGTTTGTAGTAGTTTATCTTTTATTTAATGAAATGTTATTTTCATTTTTAGTTTTAAAGTAATAAATCTTTAGTTTCGTCACAAAAAAAATTAATTATGTCTGTTGGGACTACTCTACTCAAACAAACATCATGATACTGAATAAAATCTAATTTATACTTGATATTGGATCGAACTAATCTACTCAAACAAACACCCTTATAGCTAATTCATGTCTATTTTTCAGTAAAAAAAAATGTATATTTTCATCATATCTTATTAAATAAGTTTCAAACTTAATCTCCAATTACTCGTCCCATACATATTTTTTTTTTGTTACATCAATTATTTATTTTATCAAACAAAATGTTCCAACTTAAATCTTCTCTAATCATTTACCATTTTTAAAAGTCTTTTTTAAAAAAAAAAAAAAAAGAAATGGACTAATTTACCCTTATCGGTATAAAATATTTTATAAATCCCTAATCCACAATTTTATTTTTAAGTATACATAATATATATAAAATTAATAAATGATTAACAATAACATTAAATAAAATTAATATATTACAAGACATGAAAATTAAAATAACTACTATTAAATCTAGAATCCATATTTTGTGTTTATCTCATCATACACCATTACATTAAGTAGATTGTTATAAAAATAAAAAATAATAAAAATACCATATAAACATTATGAATTAATATTTAATATTGTATAAAAAAATAACTAGTCAAAATAATAAAGTTTTAAATCTTCCATATATCAAGGGTAGTAAAATAGAATACTATTGAATAAAAATGTTAATTGTAGAACATTTAATAAAATAAAAATGGTTGATATTATTGACTTAAAAAACAATTCATTCAATGATAAAAACCAGGGTGCATTATTAATATTTGACTTGTCAAAAAAATAAATAAATAAAAACTTTGACCGAGATGATCAGATCTTAAAATTCACTGGAAATAGCACGATAACAGTACATTTGTATCTACTATCGACATAGGTAAATGATATCAGTTATTACGTTTTACCGATCATTTTTTTTTTCAAAAATATCCGAATTTTTATTTTAATTATAACTGATGTTGGCAACAATGAACGTTAGAGACAAGTGTGAAACAACAAAAACCGACTACATGCAACCAATTTTTTAAACTCACAACTTTAGGATTTTTATTTCCAACACAAAAATGTGAGTTCAATGTTATTGTGGTTACAAAGGTGCAAGTATGTTGGTAATAGAAGTAACTTGAGATACATTACATATTAAAATAAAAATATCAAAGTTTAGGGTCCAAAATAAAAGGCCTTATAGTTAAATTTGTTGTGTGAGGTTTTACATATAAAGCTTAGACTTATTTCAAATTGAAGTCAAAATTGATGGGTCCAGATAATCTTATATATGCAGAAAAACGAAGAACTACATATTTTGGCATCAAACAAACAAACTTTTTGATTAAAAAAATATAAAAGTTATATCAAAATCAACGTAACAATTCTCTGGTGCATTCCCCCTCAATAACCCCTGCATCATGTCAGATTAGAATGGTCAAAAACATGTAAAAAATAGCAGATTTTTTTTGTACGGGATAATGACTTGAAAGGGTAACGAACTTTCGACTTTGCTCACATTTAGTCACTAAACTTTTTTTCGTTATCTATTTGCCATTGAACTATTGAAACTGTTCACATTTTACCCTTATGACCGGCTGTTACCGGTCATAAGGGTAAAATGTGAACAGCTTCAATAGTTTAGTGGCAAATAGATAATGAAAAAAAGTTTAGTGACTAAATGTGAACAAAATCGAAAGTTCGTTTCCCTCTAAAAAGTTCAATGACTAAATGTGAACAAACTTTCTCTTGTATTATGTTTTAGCAAATTATTTATTTTTGTTAAATTGTAGCAACATTTGTTGATAAAGAAATTTATGAAATAAAAAAAACAAAACCCTAAAAATATATTTAAAAAAAAACAAAAAACCGAAACCGAAATAAAAAACCAATGGTTTGACATTTTCCAAAATAAAAAATCAAAATTTCCAATCTGATTTTGGTTTTACAAAAAAATGAACCATTCTCACTGCTGTGAATTATGACCATTGGTTTGGCATGCGGAATTAAAAAAACACACAAAGAACACGGTGATTTGGGTGTTTAAGAGATGCATTCGATTATGAAAGGTGTTTACAAAAAAAGGATCTAAATCTAAATCTATATAATTAACACATACTAACACTCTCAATGTTACATTTCTCAAGCACACCTCTACATGTGGTATTAACCCACCTTATATAGAGGTGTTTACATGTCTCTCTCTCTATCTCTCATGTCATAAAGGGGGAGTTTTGGATAGAAAATTCTGAATTGAGCGCTTTCTCATTCCCTTTTTGGTTTTATAATCATTTGTCGATTATAAAAAGGGGGAGAGATTTAGATATGGAAATCCGAAAGTTGAATTTTTGTAAAACCAAAATCAGATTGGAAAATTGTGATTTTTTATTTTGGAAAATACCAAACCATTGGTTTTTATTTCGGTTTCGGTTTTTCGTTTTTTTTAATATATTTTTCGGGGTTTTGTTTTTTTTATTTCATAGATTTCTTCATCAACAAATGTTGCTACAATTTAACAAAAATAAATAATTTGCTAAAACATAATACAAGAAGAAGTTTGTTCACATTTAGTCATTGAACTTTTTAGAGGGAAACAAACTTTCGATTTTGTTCACATTTAGTCACTAAACTTTTTTTTCGTTATCTATTTGCCACTAAACTATTGAAACTGTTTACATTTTACCCTTATGACCGGTAACAGCCGGTCATAAGGGTAAAATGTGAACAGTTTCAATAGTTCAATGGCAAATAGATAACGAAAAAAAGTTTAGTGACTAAATGTGAACAAAGTCGAAAGTTCGTTACCCTTTCAAGTCATTATCCCTTTTTGTACTTCAAAAGCTCAAAAATTGAAAAATAAAAAAACTAATATAACTATACAGTAATTAAGTTTTGATAAGTGGATCTTATTTTGCTCACTATGTCAATGGCTCCAATAAGGTAATTAATAGTACAACAGATATTATCAAATTATTACTAGTATTTATCACCATCTCTACTAAAAATTTTGTCAATATATAATGTTCTCCTAACCCTTTTTTCATGCTCATTACATTCCATGATTACATGTGGTTAGCCTGTAGGAATGGAATGAATTTTTAATCTTTACTTGCAAAGATTAAAAATTAAACATAATATTAACTCATTGAAATACAAATAAGATCATACTAAAGTTATAACTTTTTAGTTATTTTCAGAAAATGAAATTTAACTGTTAAACCGTGAATTTTTTTTCTGAAAAAATTTGTGTTGCTAAAAGTTACATATGAAGAAAAAAGGTTATAGCAATTTTTTAAACAATTTCATGTTAGAATGGAAAACAAAAACATCCTTTGGCTAACAAAATGGGAGGAATCAAATTCCTTCAAGAATTGTCCATTCCATTCCATTCCACCAGGCAAAACAAACAACATTTTTTTATTCCAACGAAACAAACCACTCAATTCCATCATACTAAACAATAATCTTAGTTGTGACATTAAGTGGTCATTTTCATTTCACCCTGCAGCAATATATTCCAAAATCAATGTCTACGTTCATGAACCACATATCAAAATATAAGTGCAATCATCTAAATACCTAAAAACACGTATTGCATAAACTTAAAAGTTAAAACAATTAAAACCGCATCCTCGTACCTGACTTTTCTAACAAGAATCGACTTGAGCTTACGAGCCAGGTCTTGCGATTTAAGCCTACGCTGTAGATTCTTTCGAGCCAAAATTCGTTTCTCTGAGTTCTTGATGTGATATAGCTGTTCGTTTTTTATCATTCGTTCGATGCCACTAGATTGCATTATCCTCTGCATATAAGTCAGTCCTCTCTCCAAATTGTTGTTCAGAATCTTCACCCGGATACCCCGCCATTGCTGTAGATCTGAGTTCAGATTGTTTAATCCGACGTTTGGGCGTGTGAAGATGGATGAGAAGCTCCTGGGTATGGAATTCATCGTTAGGGTTTCGCTTTTGGGGAAAAATTAGAGAAGTCGAAATGGAAACCTGCAGCCGTGCCTACGTAAAGATAAACCGGTCTTAGTCCTTGTGGTTCAAAAATTACAAATTTGGACCATGCTGTATTCTACTTTTAAGGATTTTGGCCTCTTTGGTTAAAAAATTGCAAATTTAACCCTATCAGTTAGATCCGACAAAACCTGGCACGACACAACAACTCGAAGCGAAATAAACGAGTTCGGATAAAAGACTTTACCATGTTTAAGTAAACGGGTTGAAATAAATGACACAGAAATTAAACACATTAGTTTACGGTCAAAACTTTCAATTCGAAAATGACTTGAATATGACTCGTTTCATTATATATAAAATGTTTTATTATTATTATTATTATTATTATTATTATTATTATTATTATTATTATTATATATATATATATATATATATATATATATATATAATGTTATAGACTTGTGGTTGACCAAATTCATAAGTTAAAACTTAAAATGAAAATTTGGGATGAGATAAACTGAATCAGATTAGGTGAAACGAAAAGTGTGAAAGCGTTTCAAACTTTAAAATTGACTTAATTTTACTTATCCTCACGACCTAGCCTATTTATGTCCCCAACTCTTACTTTTTCCATGTTTCCTTCTAAATTTACTATGAATTTTGTCATTCCACCTTCCAACTCTAGTGTTTCACTTTTTCATTTTCGCCTACCCGTCTCCTACTTTCCAACCACTAAAACGTTTCAACCCGACATGACACAACATATTTACAAGGTTGAAACCTTAACTGAAAACCCGATATGAAAATAAACGAGTTGACACGACACGACATAGTAATAAACAAATTAGTTTAGGGTCTATCCATCTCAACTCGTTTAATGTTCGGATACAACACGAACCCGACATGACATGTTTGCTAAGTCTACTATCACTAGGTTTCATTATGGTTTTTGTACCTAGAGATAAAATTTGTTATCTCCTATTTGTTAACTCCTTTACGTGTATCTCATGTGAGGGTATTCTAGTCATTTTAAATCAATCCAAACCATAGGGACCAAATTTGTAATTTTCCCAAGAAATTATTTATATACAATAAAATTATAGGTTAATTTGTATATAACCTTTTCTACTTTTAATAAACAATTATGTCAAATTTATCTACTATTAATATAAAAAATAAGATATTTATTTATCAATACCATGGATGGCAAAAAAATCCGAACTCGACGGGAAAACCCGATTCCTAAAGATTTCAGGTCGGGTCGTGTCGCTCTTATCGGGTATTGGGTCGTTATCGGGTATTTTGTTTGGGTTTGGGGCAAGGAATGGGGTGTGTCTTCCCCGCCCCGAATATATATATATATATATATATATATATATATATATATATATATATATATATATATATATATATATATTGTTGATGTCGAAATTGGTTGTGAGATGTCGAAGTCTTCCTGGTCATGTTTTAGTGTCGAAGTCTGTTTGTATGTTTTGCATAAAGGTATATGTATGTCGAAGCGTTAATGTTTTATCCCTTATGTATTTTTTGTATGCATTTGTCATCCCTATAAATATGGGATAGGTACTAGAGGTAGAGTATTCTTCGAGTCTTTGTTACTTGTACTCTATTTTCTCTCTGTATCTTTCAAGAGCATAATCGAGCCAACCAGATCATATTTACACATTGTGTTCATAATTCATTTCAATCTCTGATCTCATTTCTTGTACTCGATAATTAGCAACTACATTTGGTATCAGAGCAGAATTCAGATAGTTGATCTCTGATTTTCTCTTGTTATCAAAAGTTTTTGAGTCTCGTTCTAGATTCAAAATTTTCTGCACTTTTGATTCTGAAAATCTATTCAGATCATCTATATTGATTCGATTCTGCTTTTAGTTTGTTAAACGAGTATTCTGTGTTTGATTTCTGAAAGTTTCATCCATCAGATCTTAATTTCTGAAGCTTTTTCAAAAACTTATACGTACAACAATGGCGAATTTCAATATGAACATGATGACTTCTTATTCACATCTTCTTGGTTCTTCAACCAAAATCCCTATGTTGATCCCTGAGTACTATGTTCAATGGGTAGATAGGATGGAAGACTATCTGAATGGAATTGATGAAGATCTTTGGAAATGTATCACTGGTGATGTAGGATCTCCGAGTTCATTACAAAACATTGGATCTGCTGCTTCCAGTCCAGATGTTACTAATCAAGCAGAGAGAAAGAAGAAGAATGAGAAGCAATGCTTGCGCGAATTGAGAGTTGCTCTTCCACCTGTAGTGTACAACTATGTCTGTGGTTGCTCTACTGGTAAGGAAATTTGGGATACACTGAAGGAGAAGTATCAAGGAAGCGAGAAAACCAAAAAGAGCTCTGTTAAGCAATGTCTGTTGGAGTTGGGTGAATTCAAGCAGAAAGAAGGTGAGAAAATTAAGCATTATTACGATCATCTGAATGAATTGATATTTAAGTGTAGCAGATATGGAGTCAACAGATCAACAATAGAGTACAATGTGACTTTTCTTATGGGGCTTCGTAAGGAATGGCGCAATGTTGGTCTGATGATAAAAACTCAACAATGTTTCGACAATCTTTCTCTTAGTGATCTTTACAATGAGTTGAAGGCTGATGAATGGGAAGTGAATGAGATTGTTGAGGAAACAATAATCAGTTTGGATGGTACCCTAGCCTTGATGTCTAAGGTGACAAACAAAGAAGTTGAGATTGAGTCTGCTGAGAATGAAGAATTAGAAGATGAAGGGTTAATTGTGAATTATGATGATAAAGCAATAGCATTTTATTCAAATAATAAAATGAAAAAGTTCTTCAAGAAGCCTATCAATTCGAAGCCTAAAACAATTGATTCGAAAGGTAGTTCATTTATGAAGGGAGTGAGAGAGGAGAAGAAAGTGGAGAAGAAGTAAGTTAGGACTGAGGATGCGAAGATTGAGAAAAAGCTTAAGGGAGACTATGGGTTTGACTGCCATTACTGCAATGGTGAAAACCACATGGAGAATGATTGTATGTTGAGGAAGAGAGATGAGAAGAAAAATAGGATAAAGGATGAAGTCTATTATGTGGAAAGGCTCGAAGAGGTGGGGGAAAAAACAAAAGGGTTGTCATTGGTGGCCAAAGGAAGCTGTGATGAAGAAGGCACCTATCAGATATGGTCTTCTGGATCAGACGATGGAGAGATGCGTAATCTAACGCATGGTGCCATGTTTGTTGAGTTCGAATAAGGACGTGAGGGTGAAGAGAAAGTGACAGGAAAGTGCTTCGTCACTACTAGTGAAGACAAATCTCCCATGACGTCTAAGGTACGTACTCTTTTTGAATCCTTTAATATTCCCTCGAAATCTTATCTTTCAATTTTATCTGAGTTTGATAGAGATGTTACATATGTTAATAACTTGATTACCTCTGCTAGTAGTGATGCTGAAAGGTTCAAAACTTTATTGCTAGAAACTCAGAGGATTTTGGAGGTCAAGAAGTCTAAGATAGAAAGTTTTGATTTACAATTGGCGAATATCATGTGTGATAGAGATTGTTTGCGACCTGGTAATAGTATTTTGTTAAAACAAAGAAATATCTACTGTAATTCTGCGAAGCGTCTTTATGGCAAATTAACTACATTGTATCATTCATCAGATATAAGTAAAGAACAACATAGGAAGCTTTTGCCCTTCTTAGCTTTCGAAAGGGAGAAAATTGATTCGACTTCCTATGACTGTGAGAGAAAAATCTCTGAGTTTGACAAGGTCCCAAATGATTCATATGCATATGGTATAGTTAAAATTGATGAATGTTTGGATGAAAATGATATTGTTGAAATTGTGAATAAGACCCTGACTAAAAACGAACAAATACAAATTTTGCAAAGAATTGAGAATTCGAAATTTGACTCACAAAACAATCTTGCTGATATCGAAGATGATTCTGACAATATCAGTGAAATTGAGGAGGAGGAAGTTGTTGATTGTTCAAAGTTATCAGTCATTAATGTCACTTCAATAAACAAAGGAAAAGAAAAATGTGTTGATTCTATGGTTAAGGATTACACTGATCAATCCTCGCCTTCAAAAGTTCATGGTCCTGATCATGTGACTGTCGAGGATAGTCAAACAGATAGCAATGATGATGATGAAGTTACGAAACACATAACTATTCCAAGAGTTGTTGTTGAACAAGTGTATGAGGATACAGAGAAATTCGAAAAGGTAATGAAGGAAAATGGTCCTCATTATTTTGAATTGAATTCAGTAGTCTACCCAAACTTCAAATGCATTGATGACTTGGTATTTCCGAATCAAGTGTTTGTTACCTTTGGGAATGGTGACAAAGTCAAACCTGAGATCAACAAAGGAAGATAATGAAAAAGTTTCGAAAGAAGGGTTTTCTCAAACCAAAGCACTGTTGAAAACAATCTTAATAAAATTTTGTCAACTTTTCAAAGACTAAAACCAAAACGAAATTGGGTTGTTAAAACTGAGAAGTCAAATGTTGACACACAATCTAATGAACATGTTTCTCAAAAATCAACTCAAGATGTTCAACATTAGAACAAATTCAAAAGATTTTAAAAGAATATGACATTTCGAAGTCTAAAGCACGAAAGAAGGTTTATTGGCAAAATATTGAGTCTCGAAAGAAACAACATGTTTTCTCAACAAAATCGTCTGCAAAAGAAAACACTGAACCCATTCCGACTAATTCTCAAACTGAGTCTTTTGCTAAAACCAAAACCATTCCAAAACCCGCTATGAAGCAAAAAGATTTTTTCAACAAGCAATACAAATGTTTCCAAATCACCTCCAAAACCAACCGTTCAAAAACCAAGAAATGAAGCTTTTGGTAAAAATTATCAATCAAGGAATTTTGACACAAATGAACAAAATGTGATATTTTAACAAAATTCTTTTTAAAGAAATCATAATTTTGTTACAAACCAACAATCAAGGAATATGGTTCCAAATTTTCAAAATAAAAGGTTTTCTTAAAATTCATTTCTACGAAATGGTTTTCAAAATGATGATCACGAAATTTCTTTCTCAAAT